AAATATCAAGCAGCGATGTAATTCTGCATTGAACTGACAAACTGTGATTGGGCTCATGTCAGTATGGCAAAAAAGTTGCCCAGGCTGGTGGCCTCTATTTTTGCAAAAATTGAGCATAGCCTGAATGGGGCAAAATGCTCCCGTTTGATCAAGATATCGAATGGATAGTTTGTGGTATTGTGTTTAAACTTTGTGATAGTTATTTTTATCATGTGAATGTTACCTTTCTGAGTGAGAAAGCGGAGTTGATTATATCAAACTACTGCGCTGCCAGAATTTGCGCTCTTGGCCGCTAGCTCACCGATCCTAAAGAAGCTGTAAAAGGCAAGTAAGAATGTAGCAAAATAATGAGTATGGTGAAAGGCTGATGATGCAGTATGACCTAGTGAACCAACCAGCTTGTGCACACAGGCTGCGAAATTGGTAAACGGATATCATAAGAACCCTGTTGACTTAAGGCTGTCAATAACTTGTTGATTAAAAATGTTTGCGTAGGATCATGTAAACCTTTCAATTTGTGCACGTAACTGGTAGCGCACAGATAAGATTTAATGGTCGAGGAGGCTAATTTCCAGCGTGGAGATAAGAGATAAAGAGGGCCAATGAAGGTATTGATATGGGTAAACTGGGATTTTCCGGATGAAAAAACTGTTGAGTAAATGCAGTAAAAGTAGCCCAAGTTCTCTGGTAAAGTTTGTGTGTGCCCAACGACAGTGCGGAATTTAACAAACCCTTCAGGGTAGGGACCAACTCTCTGGCGGAAGGTGGGTGGGAACTGGAGTTGGCAGTTTGTCCTCCCTGGGCGAGAGTTGCTTGAACTGCTCGACCTGAAAACGTGAAATGTAATCTGACCAGTATTATGCACGCCTGGAATGTGGCCTGCTTGAAACAAAATATATATGTAACTGATGCTAAAACCAGATCGCAAACTAAAATCGTGACTAATGGATGTTTAGAGGTCTGGTGGTTAATGATATCGACAATAGGAGAATTATCCGTATAAAAGGCCATGCATTTGTTGGCCATAAGTGACCCCCAAATAGCAACAAAAGGAATATTGGAATCAGTTCTTAAAAGGCAATATTTAAGGAGGTCCATGAAGCAGGCCATGCGCCGCAAAACCAATGCTTACCAAAGATGACACCATAGCCCTTAGAACTGGCTGCATCAGTAAACAGCTTGAGGGAAGACGATGTTTCCCATTTATCATCCAAGGAAAACGTTTTGCCATTAAACCTATCCAAAAATGTAAGCCAAGTGGCCATGTCGGACTTGGCTTCTTTGCTTAGACGAATGCAGTGGTACAGGCGCTTGGGATTGAAGTGGTACAGGTTTTGCCACTTCATGCCCAACAAAGCAGTCCTTGGGATGAATTGGTATGATTCAAAAAGCGGACGTGACATCTGTTTTGGCCATAAAACAACTAGCCCCCTTCCATTTGATGACAGATATGGCATCGTTGATTGACGCATAGTGAACTAATGAACAAACCTCAGGAATGAAATCATTAACGAATGAGCCGGGGGGATAGGATAAATGATGTATCAGATGAAATTCTGAGGGATCCTTCTTGGGAACTATGCCTAGCGGGGACAACAAACATTTTGAAAGGGTGGTTCGGATAAAGGGCTCACGATGCGACCGGCCTTGGGTTCCTTATTTAATTTGGAAACAACGATTTGTGGCTGCTTGAGAGCGCTTTTCAGATTGGGGGATTCAAAAAAGTGCCGCCCACCCACAAAATCGATACAAAAACCACAAAAAAAACCAGAAACAAACACTCGTTAAGGGAAGCAGGGTAGCCTTGTAGAAGATATTCAAGTCTGTCCACCTTTACGGGCATGACCGGCTGGCCGGCTGTGCAAGACTTGATCCATTCTTGGGGAGAGCGGCACGTTGTTGATTAACGGCAGAGCACTGGCTGCCTAGTTGCTTTGCACCACATTTGAAACAAACATGCTTGAATTTGCAACCACCACAATATGTGCCTGCGTGAAATGACCAGCAGGTCCCTTTGGGAAAGGACTGTGAAGGCCTGGTGTGTGGAGATGCCATATCTGGCTTATGTTGCGCGGGTTTGGCACGAAATTTTATAACCGACTTGATCCATAGTTCCCGATGAATGGTATCCCAAGGGTACTGGTGAGGGACTGACTGTTGTATGTAATGAAACTGTTCGTCGTAGAAATACCAGTCGCTGAGTTAAGTAGAAATCTCGCAAACAATCTCACTATATTTTATTAGCCTAGGGGTCTCGTTTGGGAATTTCTCAGAAAAAATCACAGCAAAGATATTAAAGTCTGAGAGCCATTACAGAAAGGTGTGAATTTTTTTGGAGGGTTGGCATGGTTCAAGGGTCAGACAAGGTTGAGTTGGCAAGTTAGACGAAGGCATTAAACAGACAAAATCTATCCTGATTAGGGGATGATATGAGAAGGGACCCAAACTCGATGAATTCGTCAGCCCTAATTTTAGCCCTAAGCTTGGAGCTCACCCCACTACCTGGAGTCACCGTGATACTGGCAAACGGTTCCCTATTAGATGGCAATGAAAGCGGCTTTGCCATGAAGGTGGTGGCCATACCTTCGGTGAGCATGTAAACTTCATCCTGTACCGATGCCTCTATCAGCTCTTTCTTTGTAGCGACCGGAGTGTGTGCTTTGTTGACCTGCCTGAGTGCCTGTGATAGCTTGGGTGACAGCGAGAGATAACGTTGTGGGCAGAGCTCGCACGTCCACCGTAACTAGGTTCTGTGGAGGCGTTGTAACTGATTCTGCTGTTTCTTCCGTGAGCTCTGAAGCCCTCAGCCTTTTAGATTTCAAAAGGGTGGTGGGTGCGGAATGCTTCTTGGCCGGCATAACTTATCGATAAGAACATGTCAGTTAACTTCCTGAGACTATCAATGACTAAATTAAGATTGCTTCGAGGGGCGGTACCAGAAAAATGTGATGGCAATGTTAGCAAAACTATCTAGACAAGATAAATAGTGTGAAAAGCCAAGTTCCAGGGAAGAGTATAAATATAGTGCCAGCCCAGGAAACTGAGTGAATAGGGCACACCCTAATTAAGAAAATAGAGCAGCTGGATAAGGGTTGTACACTTGCACGGCGTCTGATGGTGGAAAAATGAAACATAGTTCTCAAGCCACATAAAAATGAAATCATATTCCAGTTCCCACCAGAACCAAACAACTAAAACAGTGTACAGGCAGTGTCATGTGCAGATAAGCTGCAACGCTAAACAATAAAATCAAAGGTTGACACACAGCTAGTGCTGTGCACAAATAAGCTGCAACAACTAAACAGTAAAATCAAAGGCTGACACAGCCAGCGCTGTGCGCAGATAAGTGGCAACAACTAAACAGTAAAATCAAAGGCTGACACACAGCCAGTGCCGCGCGCAGATAAGCCGCAACGACTAAACAGTAAAATCAGAGGCTGACATGCAGCCAGTTCTGTGCGCAGATAAGCCGCAACGACTAAAATAAAACATCAAAGGCTTACACAAACAGGATTGGACTTGGTCCACAAATTAATAATTTTCTCAGGTGTGTGTAAAATCTGAAGGCATACTGGGCATGGTAATTATTTTCTAAGGTTTTCAGGAAGGATAAACTTCTCCGAAAATTCATCAAAGCAAATAGAGGGTATGTCTTTGGTAAGAGGATCAAGATCTTGGAGTGAAGAATTGGGGTTTTCTCCCCATCCGTATCTTCTTGGGCCTTCCACCTTTCTTAATTTTTGCTACATGTCAACAGACTCTGCATTCATCATCATAGTACATCACCCATGTAACTGGAAACACATCTTCTGTTGGGATGCGCATAGCATGCGTGGCAAAAATATTGCAGGTGAATTTCCCCAAGGTCCTTTTCAACAAAGATTGAAACCTTTTCAGCAAAGAATTCTTTCCATTTCAGATATTGAGACTTTGAAGTTACTGCCCCTTTTGATTTTTCCAAGTTTTCACAGCACATACAGCAGAGGGTTTCAAGGTTTTTCTGGTGAGATGCCATTTTCTATGGACTGATCGAAATTTGTAGGGATATTAAGTTGACCAAGTTCTTGATTTAATGAAATGGGAGTGGAAATTGTATTGTGGGGATAAACAATTAATTCTTTAATGATACTAAAATAAGAGGAGGGACAGCGAAGAAAACTTCAAAACTTTTATTAGACATTGCTCATTAAGGAACTACTTGTGATGTGAAGGCAGTCTATAACTTTTGAACAAACCCCCTTTTTCATTCAGGAGAGTGTTTTGATATTTCCAAAATGAAACAGTTCAATGTTAAGAAACTTTTCGTTACTCACTCAGGCCTGCCTCCACATTTTACAATCCAAACATCATACTGGTGATTGATTTCCCCATTGCCTTTTTTCATGGAACATGAGATTTTTGTATGGTGATACATTGCAGTTCTCTTGATGGTGACTTCTTCTCTTACAAAGTCTTGACTGTACCTCTCAAACCCTTCTTTTTCCATTGCATTGGATGAAGATGCCTCAGTCACCTGTACAACATTGAATGCTGCCACCTTTCCCTCATCTGTCATCATGGTATTGGCACTATGACCTGGACTGTCACACCTTCCATCTCCAATCAAATTGAGTAGCTTATCCCTTTTAACTGCTCTAATACTGAAGTTCTTTCATCTTTCCGGGCCTTGTTTACCACTGGAAACAAATATTTTTTCTGTATATTGTAATATGTGGAGGACTGAAGAACTTCAAATTCAGAAAAGCTGCAAACTGCATGAGCAATGTGGGAAAATGTATTCCCACTAAACAAAATGGCAGCTGATGAAAGCAAATTACCTGCTGCGATGTTTTTAATTAGTGCCTGTGGACTCCAGAAGGTTTGATGGTTATTTGCCCACATCATTTTTACTGAAAGCCTACTACCACTGGTTGTTTCCTTTGATTCACAAATGACAGGACCACATGTTGAACAAAATGTAAGAAGTACCTTAAGGCTCGAAGACAAGGAATTTGCGTTTGTTATGTTTTTCTGATTTTAAGGGCCTCTTCATATGAGCCGGGTAACTGGGCTGGCTCAGTTACCGGGACAAATTTTGTTGTCTGTTCATATGGGGATTTTCAGCCCGGTCTACTGGGATAAAATGAAAGAAACACAACCCAAATGGTGGAACATAAACGTGTATTGTTCGTGGCTGTCGCAGCTTTGTGGACTCTTGTAACTTTACTAATAAATCTAATTCACCTACTCCTAAAGTGGAAATACATGCAGGGCAAAAATCATGCCATTTTGGCCGCTATGTTGCGAAAGCAAAGCTATTTTGTGTAAAATGTTTTGTCTCGGTTACCCGGGCTGGAGTGTTTATATGGGAAAATTTTTATCCCAGTTACGGAGATCTTGGTCGCAAAACCCAAGATCTCGATAACCGGGCCAGCCTGGCTTCTTATATGAACACATCGAAATTTTTACAAAGGAAAGAGTGGCGAGGTGAGATCTTGGAAACCGAACCAGCCTGGCTGACCGGGCTCATATGAAGAGGCCCTAACTCAACATCTGAGTTGTCAGGGGATGAACCTGCATTGTCACTAATTTCATCCTTTGTATGTCACAACTTTTCTACTTCAGCAGTCAAAACCACACTCTCTTGACGAGAAAAACATCAATTTTGACAGGTGTAATGACCTTGACTGATTTGTAATGGGCTAATCACCAAAGGCGGATTGATGCTTGAAAAGCAAAGTCTACAGGACTCGGTCCTGCCCTGCTTGCGTTGCAAGCCAAATTCTTTTTTTTTTTCACGCTCACTGAGTTTATTATTATTATTATTATTATTATTATCAGTATTTTCATCATTATATTCATGTAAATTTAAGTATTGTGCTGAATACAATAGATACATATTTAACTGCAGAATGTTAAAAAGAGACATGCATTTCCGATTACTACAGTTGTACCTCACAACTGATATCTCTGTGACTATTTTTTATATAGTTTTTATATTTTCAGATTTCTGTTTTATTTATTGTTGGTTTCTGGCTTTTTTGGAGTTTGCATTACTCGTTACAACTTCAATCTTGATACTAAGTTTTCATTGAACATTAAATAAAATAAAAAATATCCAGTGTAAACTTTCCTTCTGGTTGTGTGCTTGTTTCCAGAATAGAGCTGATTATTTCTGTTGACCAAAAATATAAAATAGTGTCAATTGAATATTGATAGATTACAACAATAACAATTTTAGCAATGAGGAAAGCAACAACCACCACAACATCTTGTAAATTTTTTGTGCTTTGGCAAGGGAACTGGTCGTCCACTGCCCAGCAGTTGCTTTGTGGTCTACATGTACATTAGCTTCCCCAACTGCACTCAGTGCATGACATGACAGATTTAACAAACATAATTCAGTTTTTTGATCAACAAACACCAAAAGTCTTGTTTATTTTTGATGTTTTCAGATTATTAGATAACATACAGGTTACAGATTAAATAAATGATTACAAGAGCAGCACACAGCAATCTTGGTTACCTACACAAATTCCCCATTTCATCTTCATCCCGTAGTCAGCAAACACTGCCTGCAACAAGGATGTAATACCCACCAAAGGGAGTATTTAGTGCTACATGATTTTTCTGATATAATCAATCTTTATTTGTAGTCATTCTTGCTAAAGAAAAAATTACAATTTTAATCAAAATATTAACAGTAAAAATTAGGGTACTAGCTGCCTGGAATAACCCTAGGGGCTAGCAGAGCCAGGCAGCCAGTTAACATTCATTTTGAATTCAAGTGTTGCATTGTTTCTTTCTTCTTTTGTTTAATTTTTTTCTTACATGTATATTAATGTGTAGGTACGCTATTCCTTGAGCCGAGGTAAGGAATAGACTGAAGTCTGGCACTCCCAAGGGGTTGGATACCCAAGCTTAATTTATTCCAGAAACAGCCTTTGGATTTCCTACACCTCTACTATTATCTTCACTATAGGAAAAAAATCAAACTGGCAATGGGTTCACATCTAATTTATTCCTCTTGAACACCTCATTCCATACGGCCTGTCTGATCATGAATGTCTTTGGTCTCAGCACTCTAGTAGGGGCCATCCTGTCTGGATGCCAGTAATGTCAGTAGAATTGAATCGAGGAAACTTCTTGGTCAACATTTTCATTCTATAATGGAAATGACATGTTCTAATTATGCAGTATAGTCCATCTAATCCATAGTACGATATGCCGACCCATCGATCATTGGGTAAACCCAAAGAGCATAGAGCCTACATAAAATGTTTTCTTAAAAGAAATAAAAATTTTGTCTAACAAATATTGATAGCAACTCACTCAATCCAAAATGGCCAGATGGATCCTCATCACATATGAATTGTCACCAAGATTAATTCTCTTTGGGGCATATATAAGGACCACCACATGAAAGGTCTCAATGTAAAAGGTGTCACGGCACTGTAGAAAGTAGAGTCAACATATACTTTTCACTATGCAATTGGCGAGTAAGTATTCCTTGTCTTATAAATTTGTTCTACACAACAATATACACAAGGCTACACTTGGTTAACTTTAAAAAGTCATTAGCTTTTGTCCATGCCCACTAACCAGAAGATAATCAGAAGGGTTCTTGTAGATGGTGGTCTTTGTTATAGCTTTCATCTAGGAAGGTCAAGGGCTTTTTGCTGCACACATAGCCTGGGTGTTGACATCTTGAATCTTTATTGCACAGGTCATGCTTGCCCTAAGGTAACATTTTAAGCCAAAGTTAAATTTCCTCAACATCTATCCTGCTATAATGCTACAAAGTAGTAATTTACACCCAGCATTCGTGTGGATTGATTCCTAATAACACATTACATATATAAGAACCCCTGGGCAAAGTGAGACACTGTGGAGCAGCATCAAACTACTAAGTAACTCTACTACTACTAAAAATCCCAATTTCTGATATGTCAAAAAAAACTCTGGGCTACCATGCCCTTTAAACATGGCCAGTGATATATACAAATCAGTAAGGTTCATACAAAATATCTTATTGGTTTGTTGTATCATACATTGGTTTACATTAGGAAGCACATCTACAAACCTGGTAATGGTCCACAATGTTGAGTAGGTACTTCAGGAACCCAGCATCAGTCCCATCATTGTTCCTCATTGCCCAGTAGAAATGTGTTTTGGTGGCTTTGGCTGTTTAAACAACATCACAATAAAAATTTCAACTGTAAATTAAAAAACCCAACAAAAAAAAACAAAACAAAAAAACCCCCAGAAATTTCAAACTAACACATCCCTGTCCTTTATCAGATAATTCAGGAAACCATGTCTTCCCCTCATCACTTTGAGCACCACTGCACACTTTTTTCATGTTGTGTGCCACTCCTTTAGTACTTGTATCAGGAAAGAGTTTTTAAAGTGGAAAGGCTGATGAACATATTTTGAGTGCTGCTCAGGCAAACTGAAGAGCATCACACAGTCACTGACATATTAACTATTACACATTCTTACCATGCCAGGTGTCAAATGAATTGTTGATGCCTCTTTGCTCAAACCAATTTTTCAATAATCTGAGACAGTCATGGGCCACCTCTTATGTTGTATCCTATGAGCAAGGGTGCATTTTTACGATACACTAGTCCTTGGCTACCAAGACAGGAATCCCAAAACATAACAGTGAAAATGGAGAAACAGAGTGACAGTTACTAGAACCTGTAGGTGCCAAAGCAGGATATCTCTATTTAGTGAATATAGTCAATAGGCAACAATAAAAGCACTGATGTCTTTAAAACACACAAAAACTACAACACAATTAGGCACTTTCAGTTTCTGTAAGGTGTGTTAGCAGCTGTTTTGTCATTGGTACATCTCAACTAGGAGCACTTCTTTCATCTGCACAGCTCCAATTGCAGACAGAAATAATTTTTTGTTGCTGAGAGGCAAAAATCACATAGATGACTGATAAGATGATAAAAATGGAAACAGCCTTTGAGAAAAGTGCGACAAGAGTTATCAATTTCATGGGTCTTAGCGTTCGACATACCTCATAGAAATAGCTGTCACTGGAGAATGCATGGCTGATCTAGTTGAGGCATGTCTGGCATCTGTTATACACTGAAAGATGCATTGGAATTAAAAATGAATAGAGGAAAAGAAAAGCATTGAAGAAATTGAAGGTAACAAATGAAGGTACAAAATGACTTAGCATTGTGCAAAGTGTTATTTTCAATTTTGCCCAGTGCAAATAATCTCAACAACAGTGAACATACACAGCTAACGACTAGCCGGTTGTATGTCAACTTACATCCCCGCTTGTAATATAGTCTTGTGTAGCTTGAACCTCTGTCCTTGCATCAGCCATGGTCTTGTTGCAGAGTTCCTGAACTACAGACATATATCCAAATCCCTGGTCTTTACATCCCGCCAAACAAAATGATACAGCCCGGTAAGCCAAATGGTAAAGGCTAGATTCAAATGATACACTGACTGAAGATAGGGGTATATGCTAGTTTTACTACAGACTACACCACTGCTGTGAAATTACAGGAAACATCACACCATAGAAAAAGTAAAGATAACACACTACAATGTATAAGTTACAAGTCACATACTTGTGTCTATTGTTTTGTCCATCACACAACCAACGCCAGCAGCTTCAGCAGAACCATGATAATGAGATTCAGTAAGTCGAGTACATGTGAAAGCATAAACCATTCTGCAAAGGGTTTTTTCAAATGTATCACTCACCTGAGCATACAGATTTATTACAAGAGATAAAACATGGGAGGACAGAATGGTTTACATTAGTTAGTCTGCAATGACATGTGGTAAAAAATGCAAAGCCATAAAAATGATAGAAGAGAATATACTTGTAAGCTTAGAATATTTACAAAATACTTTCTTGGAATATATTTAATCAAATATGCTTACTTACAAAATAGGTCATGTACATATTGTACTCACCTAACATTGGCATAGTACTTTGCAGGGTGTCCCAGAACTCCAGAACTGAGCCAAGTAATTGGGTCGTTGCACACACACAGGGAACTTCAATCTTCCAAACGTGGCCTTGACTTGAAAAAGTAGCTGAACTCCATTTGTAATCTTTGCCACAAAATTCACACAAAGGATTTGTGGTAAAGTACTTACACAATGCTTGCAAAGATGACTTCATGCACACATAGCATCCATCATACAATGTAGACTCCACATATATGTTTTTTTTTGAGTTTGTTGTCAGACAGGCACTTTAACAGAACTCTATGATGGTTGAACAGGTTGAGAGGGAGCTGTTATTGGCCCTTCGAGCACATCAGTCTTGGCCCTGGATGAAGAGCTACTTTCGACAGCTGATAGACGAATCATTTCAAAATACAAAAGAAGTCTTTCCATTAAATCAGCATTCTGTGTGGTACAGGTCTTTCTGTAGTAAATGGTTTGAACCCAGGAGTATCAGTAGTTCGTATAG